TTTTAAAGAAAATATTTAGCCTTGCTTAATCAAAAATGTCCTTATGATAATAATAATTGTGTTGGAGAATTTGTAGTCAAAAAAAAAGCAAAACTTAATCCAGCTTTAAAGGATCATTGGTTTGTGGGTTGTTCACAATAGAGATTAAAAACAAAATGATCACATTTTTTTATTATTTAAATGAAGAAATTAATCCTTTATTATTAAAAAGATTATTTGAAGGAGAAGCAGTAAATATATTTAATTTTTTATAGAAAAAATTATCTGAGGCATTATGTATAAAATAATACTTTGACTTCTTTGAATTTTGTCTCTAATTAATTTTGTTCTGAGGATGGAAAAGCGTTGGCAGAAGTGTTTTGCAAGAATTCAATTCTGACTTACTTTTGTCTTTATTTATTGAGCTTGTCTTGGAGAAAAGGATTGTATCAACAGAAGTACTTATGATAACACTATTCTGACATTATTCTGATATCCCATTATCTCTATAGTTAATATCAAAGTTAATTTACTGCAATGCCACTTCGTTATATTGTATTTCACAATATTAAAAGAAATTTAATTATTACATCTTATAAACATGTGCCATAATACAAATATATTATTTGCATATGCTTTATTGGCTAGAGCTGTAGGAGCAATGCATTCAAGTTTCTGATTCAATTAATCCTGTTTAGGCTAAAATTTAATAAAAAAAACCTTTATATAAGTTATAATAGGTTTTTTAATATAAAATGGTTTTAATTTGAATACATATTTACTATCTCATGTTTTTTAAAAATTGAATTTAATATTTAATAAAACAAGTTGACTTGGTAAAACTTTCATTATCAACAATTTCATTAATGTGAGAAGATAATGTTGTTACACGTGAAGTTGATCTCTTATAACAACTTCCAGAACTATGGAGTTAGTCTATCACAGACTAATAATTTGTAATTTGGTGAAGTTAAAAAGGCATTAGATAAATGACTTAGGCAAGAGGTTTAATAAGGCTTTTACGAAAGAGGCAACAATACAACGTATATGAAAATATGAAGTATTGTAAGAAAAGGGTCATGAGTTACACATAACGACACAAATAATACTCAATAATCATGAGTCACATGTGATAACAATAAATCAATGGGATCGTGTATGTAGACACAATGTTTAGTTTGTTTAAAACAAGAGTATGACTATATAAAGATAGTCACAGATACAATGAGAATTCAGAGCTATATCTATTAAGGAAATTATATATATGAAACTATATATAATTATTAAATGGTGTCGAAGACTGAAGAAGCTAACTAGGCTAATTTGTGTTCTTTATATAACAAATATGACTATATATTTAATTACAATGGACAAGTGCTAAATCTACTCTATCTATCGATCTATCTATAACTCATCCTGCTATTCTTATCAACACCAATCTCTTCACTATTTTACACGTAGGCTTCGGGTCTTTGTCTTTAATGGGCCTTGACCCGGGCTTGATCTGTCTCTATTAAGATACTAATTTCGTGGAAAGCCCTTAAGCTTGTTCATTTGTTGCTCATCTGTATGGATGGCACGAGTGGAATAGAGCTTTTCGTTTAAATAGCAGCAGAAATGAGGCTAGTTTGAGGTTAGAATTATTAACACAGTAACAAATAGACTCTTTTAGGGACTACCATTGATATTGCGGCATGTGTTGTCCCTACACTACACATCACCAATATCGGGACTGATATGGTAACTAAAAGTGATGTGTATAGTTTAACAATTTGGGAAAATGGAGCACTGTGTATAATAGTATGAAAATGGAGTCAATATGAATATTAGTAGGGCAATTGTCCTTCGATTATTAATGATCAACGGTTTAGAAGTTCAAGAAGATTGTTGCTGCGGCAATTATACACCATGCCAATCAAGTTCTTCTTTAAGTTGTTGGCATGTGTAGTATTTTTGTAAAAATAACAGAGGTAAGTTTACAGTATCCCTGAATATCCTGTGGTAGCACATAAACGATCATAGAGATATCGGGAGACAATTTTTATGTAGCATTTACTCACCCTTTAATCATGAGCTCCTGCAAATGAACAATAGGGGCTCACAGAGATTCTGAATTTAGACCACTCATTACTTTCCTTTTGGTGACTTTGTTAAATAGGTGGTGGCAGTAACATTTACCAACTATAATCGCACCATTGACATCATCAATAAACACCCATTATGACCTGATAGGTCAATTATAATTTATGCATTCCATTGTTAGTATTTATAGTTTTTCATAATACTTCTTTAGTAACAAGGCATTATGAGTGGTATCTAAGGGACATCCCTCTATTGTTTTCAGTTTATAGACGTCTTGCACCACTTTTTGTTCAATTATAAAAGGGCCCAACCATCATGGTGAAAGTTTTCCAGAATGGCTGTTAGCTTTTGCAGCGTCATATAACAACACTTTATCCCCTTTATTAAAGATATGAATTACTTTCTTCAATTTCCTATCCCATCTAAGCTTCTGTCATCTTTGGGAGCAGTTCACATTTTCTACCACAATAGACCATCTAATAGGTAAATCCATCACGATTGTACTCAATCTATTAGTGAGATTTTCTTGGATTTCCCGATCTGCTGTAATGTCTGGGTATTTCGCTTCACATCCATACATGAGATAAAACAGTGTAAATTGGGTAGTAGATTGTTTAGCAGTCCTGTAAGCAAATAGAACAGATGGAATTAAAGTATCTCATTCTTGGTCTTGGTTTACTAATTTAGCCAGAGCTTCACATAAGGTATGGTTGTACCTTTCCACCAGGCTGTTGGTTTGAGAATGATATGATGTTGACAACAAATGTTTAATCTCCATTTGTTGTGTTAGGTACCGAACCATATCATTATTGAAATGGAGGCCTCTATCTGAGACTATTTCGACTGGGCATCCATGACGACTGATTATCTCTTGGTATATGAAATTAGTGGTCTGATAGGCTGTTGCATCAGGTATGGCTTTTGCTTCTGGCCACTTTGTCATATAGTCAACTGCGACTATAATATACTTATTCCTACTAGTTGTTAAGTCCAGGGGCTTTACGAAATCAATACCTATCTTGTGGAAAAGAGATTCAACCACAATTGGTTGCAAGGGACCTCGAATTCAGTTTTTGCTGTGTTTTTGGCATGCGTCACATGCCTGGATATATTTTCTGACATGTTCATACATCTGAGACCAGTAGTATCGATTTTGATTTTCTCAAACATCTTTTCAATCCTTAGGTGAGCTCCTAAGGGATAGTTATGCATTAGGTATAAAATTGGGTCTACCTCCAGCAGTTGTATTACTCTCAAAAGCTGGTTCTTTGTTTGTTTTCAGCGATCTCTTTTATATAACAGGTGGTTATATACCATGTAGAATTTACTTTGTGCTTCCAATCATTGTTTTTGTCTTGCTGTGAAGCTTCGTGAGTAGCTAGCAGTTTCTAAAAAGGCTTTTATTTGGTTATATTTTGCCAGATCCATAATGATAAAAAAAAATAATAATACTAATTAAAGAAAAAAAAAATAACAAAGAGATAAAAAAAATTAAGAAACTAAAATAAAATGTTAGATAGTTAATTTAGAAGGTGTTTGGTTTAATTAATTAGATAGAAAAAGTAGTTTAGATTAGATGTAGTTCTTAAATTATCGCTATACAGTTGCAGTGACCAACTTGCAAAGTTTTGCATTATTTGTGGGCAGAAAGGTTTCATAAAACAAAACTAGAGGCCCACAACAGGGTTTGATGCTTTCCACCAAACTGAATTACACAAATACGTGTCCTTCAAATTGTTGTGTTCATCCAGTTGTCAGGTGGTGGGGGTAATCAGTTGATGCATACACTATAGTTGGTTATATAGAGGACCCTTATATGGCTGCTGTAATCTATTGTTCACTTGGAATAAGACGTTCAGAATAGGCATAAGCCTAGGTAATGACTTATTTGTAGTACTATCATTTGCTAATTCATTTATTACAACCTCGGTATCAGACTAAACATCCCACATATGGGCAGATTCCTCCTGGTAGTCTGGCGTCGACTAGTAACACATAATGATTTCATTAAGTGGACAATCTTTAATAGTTATCTACAACCAGAGATCACACTTATATTTAATGCAATCATCGGAGGGGGAGTAGAGCTTATCTTCATATCAACATTGGGCAGTTGGTCTACCCAATTTCATGGCCAATACTTACTTATTAATTTCTGGCTTAACTGGGCACTAATATGTTCAATGTAATACCATGTACATATTTGCTCTTTAAACCTAATTCCATTGGGGTAAATTTGACTTGTTGATAGGGGTATATCCCACCCAATGTGGCTGGTGGCAAATTAGAACTTAGAGTCCTAATAACTTCATCAATGATTTCTTGCTCTTGGTCTATTTTCTTATATTGATCCATCATATAGACTATTTTCTCTCTAGGAACTCAAGAAAAAGCATCCACATTATTATGGGCTCTGCTGAGTAGTGAATGATTGTGAAATTATAAGGCTCCAGCCTCATAATCTACTGGGCATGTTTCCCTTTCAGTTCTGAGGTTCTCAACTATTGGAGAGCTGAATGATCTGTAATAAGATAAAATGTTTCACTCCTAAATATTAGTAAAAGTGTTCTATGGCCCAAATGACCGCTAAACACTCTAATTTCAGAATAGAGTAATACTGCTCATTTTATTTAGGCTTCTACTAGCGTATGTGAGAACATACTCCCTGTTGTCATCATCCAATTGAGCCAGTATAGCCCCAATCCCAAAGTTGAAGCATTGGTATTGAGGTGGGATGGTCAGTTATAGTTTGAGTACTATAGTACTGGGGCGGTAGTCAATCGGTCCTTAAAGATATTGAAAGCTTCATTTTGAGCTTTAGTCCAATGATAAGGCTCATTTTTCTTTAAAAGCAAATTTAGGAGCTTGGCTATACTTGAAAATCCTTCAATGAATTTCTGATAATATGAGACCAACCCTAGAAAAGACCTGACTTGTTTTTGGGTCACTAGAGTGGGGAAATTTCTGATTTGTTTGATTTTATCCCCGTCTGAGAGGATTCCTCTATTACTTATAATATGATCTAAGTAATGGATTTTGTTATATAAGAAGTAGCACTTCTTTGAATTCAACTGTAATTTCACTTCTTCTATTCTAGCAAGAACTTGTCGCAGATGATTCAAATGTTCTTCAAAGGTTTTGGAATATATAATTACATCATTCAAGTAAACCACCAAGAAGTGGTTAATAAAGGGCTCAAAAATGTGGTTCATTAGCCATTGGAAGGACAAATGTCTTTTTCTGTTACTGCATTGAGCTTATGGTAATCAATGCAAATTCGTTTGGTCTTATTTTTCTTGGAGACTAGTACTACCGGGCTAGCCCAGGGACTCTTAATGGGGCTCACAATTCTTTGGTCTTGCATAGCAAGGATTTCATTCTTTAAGAAGTCTTTATCGTCCAAGGACATACTATATGAACATTGTTTAATTGAGTAGGCATTTCCTGTATCTATTTTGTAACACACAAGGCTAGTCTGGTCTAGCCCTACTGTCTGGCCACTCTTGCTGATTTTCTTAGCAAAGTTATGCATGTTTCCATGCAAAAGGTCTATGGCTTGCTCTTGTTGTTTCGGGGTTAAATCCTTATTTATATCAAAAAGGATACCCTGGTTGTCCTGGGAGCTTTCTGATGACTTAGCCAGATACACTGCTGGGTTCTTATCGCTCCAGGGGTTGTAGAACAGTTTATTCTCATCTGAGGAACTGCTATCAGTATAAAAGGCTTCTTGATCTTTATCATCATCATCTTCCATCTCATCAATCCAATTTTCTTCATTAGTGAAGTCTTCGTAGTCTTGGGGTGGGTTTTTATTGCTAACATGGGTAGTGTTGATAGTAGCTTGTCTACCTAGGTACCTAACATGCGGAGTATTATTGCCAAAGTCTAACTTGGCACGGGACTTACTAAACCAATTGGACCCTAGCAATAAAGTTTCCTCCTGTGATTCTATCACCTGCAAATCTATTAGAATTGCCAAATTTTGGAGGCAGATTTGAACACGGCTAACTATCTCTAAAGCTTTGGTATGGTTGCCATTTGCAGTTATAACTACCATTTTAGATGGCTTGTCAATGTCTAGATAAAGTTTCTTTATCAAATTGTGAGTGATAATACTTATAGCAGCCACAGAGTTTAAAATAGCTACTACTGGGGATCCTTTGATCTGTACGTGGCAATGTATGGCTATTGTTTTGTGGGGGCTGGTAGCTCCCAAATGGTTGGCTTCAGTACTAGAGTCTTTTTTCTTCTTAAAGCCCTAGCTATATTTCATCTTTGGTTAGCATACTGTAATATCTGACTATATGTAACTCGAGCTGGAGCTTGTAATAGATCCTCAGAAATATCATATGGTTGGAGTTTATCAACAACCGACGGTAGTCGACACTTAACTACCCAATTTACCAGAGTTGTTGGTTAAACCTGATCTTCCAAATCTATTAGGTCTTCTAGATCTTCTTCCTCCTCAACCACTGGAGGTTGTACCTTAGGAGCTTTACTCCTTAAAGCATGCTCTTTTTGGGATTTAGACTACTTTAATTTTTCTTTTTGCCCTCTTCTATCTGTGGAATACAGTTGTGGCCTATTAATATAGACTTCTTCCTTAATTTTATTATCATATTCAGTTCCAACAAAGTTTATGCTTTTATTCTGACTATTATTGGCATTAAGTCTTTTTGAGGGTTGATAACGCCGTTCCCTATTAGGGACTCATTCTGATAAACACTTATAAACATAATGTCCCGGTTCTCCACACTTATAACAGGTGATATGGACAGCTCTTAATGCCTCACGTCAGGGCATCATTAGTTTAGGGGTCTTATTATCCGCTTGTTGTACAAGAGCCGAAGCTATAGTAGTATAGTTAAGGCTCATTTGCTGTATTTGTTGGGTTAGTTGTTCTATTTCCCTATCATAATTCCTAGCTACACCGGCAACAATTAGATTGGCGTTGGTGGCAAAATCTGTACCCTGCTTGTAGATACGTGCCAGGTCCAATATTTTATCTAAATCGGTGGGGTTATGCATAAGGATGACAGGGAGGAGATCTGTACGCAGCTCCTTTTTGAAATAGTATAATTTCTGAGAGTCTTGCAAGTTCATACCAGGCTCTAGTGTCTTAATTAGACACCTAAACTTACTATAATAAGTCTCAATAGACTCTTCTGGCAGTTGTTTCAAATTATCTAGCTCAGCAACCCACTTGTTGGTTCAACACTGGGTACAAAACCTAGCTTTGAAAGTATCTGAGGTGGCTGTCTAATCACTATCAGGGTCAGCTGAGTTAGCTGTGGGTGAATTAGTGGCAAAATATGCCAGTTACTATTATCTACATTACTAAGTAAAAACGCGAGTAAAATTTATCATTTTCTATAGGTACTTTACTTATTGGCAGTGATGGCTTTATCGAAACTCTCAATCCACGCTTGTAGGTCCTGAGTACCATTTCCTAGGAATAGTTTGATCCTTAACAAGACACTTTCTCGTTGGTTGGCTTGAAGGTAATCTAGAATGGCTTGTGCATCAGCCATTAGTTGGATTCTTGGTGATTGAGGTGGGGTTTGAAATAATATGTCAAGATCTAAATCCGATTCAGACGTATCTGATCCTAGAGAACTTATTACTTGCTGGTACAATACTAAGAAAGGGTCTAAGTTAAACCCATCAGTCCTTTGGTATGCTTGATATAGTTAAGTGGCTAAAGTTTTTAAGCTTAAATCTTCGTTATATTAGCACATATAGGTTAAGGCGCAAAAATATACTTAAAATTGTCTTCGGGCTGTTTAAGTTTTTGATAAAAATGTAATGTACAATCAGTATATATACGTACAGGATACTCCACAGCAAACCAAGTCCAAAACCTTATGAATTGGATAGAGGTGTTGGTTACTATGGGATAACAAAGTATGCAGAGAAGTCTGGAAAAGTTCAATAAAGTTGTTGGCGAACTCTCTTTCTGGTACCGGGATATAATATATGTTGGTGATTGTGTTGGTTATTCCTATGGACAAATTCAGCATAGGAGACTATACACTACTTCTGCAATTAAGACTTCAACGATGGAGATCTTATTTCACAGTCACCACCAAAATGTTACACATGAAGTTGACCTCTTATAACAACTTCCGGAACTATGGAGTTAGTCTATCACAGACTAATAATTTGTAATTTGGTGAGGTTAAAAAGGCGTTAGGTAAATGACTTAGGCAAGAGGTTTAATAAGGCTTTTACAAAAGAGGCAACAATACAACATATATGAAGATACAAAGTATTGTGAGAAAAGGGTTACGAGTCACATGTGACAACACAAATAATACTTAATAATCACGAGTCACACGTGATAACAACAAATCAATAGGATCATGTATGTAGACATGATGTTTAGTTTATTTAAAACAAGAGTATGACTATATGAAGATAGTCACAAATATAATGAGAATTCAAAGCTATATCTATTAAAGGAATTATATATATGAAACTATATATAATTATTAAAGAGTGTTGAAGACTGAAGAAGCTAACTAAGCTAATTCGCGTTCTTTATATAACAAAAGCAACCATAAAAATATAATATACAATCTTTAAAAGTTTTAATAAACTTATATTTATTTTAATAATAAACAAATATATTTATAAATATAATATACAATCTTTAAAAGTTTTAATAAACTTATATTTATTTTAATAATAAACAAATATATTTATAAAAATTAAATACAAAATAAAAAATATAGTTTATATAATATGAATAAAAATTTTATTTTATATTCTTGAGATAAAAAAACCTTAATTATTTAAGGAAAAAATCTCAATATATAATATAAAATTAAATATAAATAAAAATATAATTATTTAATTTTAAAAATAATAAATTTTATCAATATCATCAAAATGTTTTTGTACTATTTGGCTTGGATCATAATCTTCTTCATTTTCTAAATCTTAAATAATAGTTATTTCATCTTCATTTAAGTCTTCAATTATTTGATTATTATCTGTATCTTCAAAATTATTATTTTCTAAATCAATTATTTCTAATAAATTTAGATTTTTCCATATAGTTTCTTCATCATCATCTAAATCATACTCATCTAAATTAATATTTTCTGTTTCATTATTATCATCTTCTTTTTCTTCTTCAATTTGTGCATTATATAATTCTTGATAAATTTTATCTACTGTATATTCTTTACTATATAAATTTAATTTAGATTCTTTGTTATTAATATAATATGAATAAATTTTAACTAAAGATTCTAAATTTTCAACAGTAAATTTGTTCTTCTTTTCCTGTCATCAATCAACAAATAGACCAAATTCTTTTACAACTTGCTGTATGTAGAGTAATAGAAAAAAGTTTAATTCCAAGTAATTGTAAATATGGTGGTAATATTATACATGTTTTCCACCAATTTAAAACTGTATCAATATTTAATGAGAATGGTGCATTAAATGGATCTTTTTGTAAGTAATATTCTCTAAATTGAGAAACAATCATATCTTCTGATTGTTCTTTAGAATGTTTATATTTTTTTTAATTGTACTGCAATTTCTGGAATTTTTATCATTTGTTGTCAAATATTTGCTGCTGTTGTTGTAATTTTTAAAATTTAGTTTTTTTTAATACCTGTACCTAAATAATTTATAAATTTTAAAATTAAATAGTTAAAAATTAAATAATTAAATTTACTTACCTTTATAAAGTGAATGAAGAAAATAAGCTAAAAGATATTCATCATATTTATATTCAGTAAATCTTAAATTAAATTTGTTAATAGCATATTTATAAAATACTTTAGAATCTTCTTTAGAAAGCTTATAAATTGAATTTTCTAAAGATATTAATGCAAAATAACAATCAGCTAATGTTACATTTCTACTTTGTAATTTAATAATGGCATCATTAATAGGTTTAAAAATCTTAGCTAAATTATAAACTTCATAAAAAAATCCTTTTTTTTTACTAATAATTGCTTTAACTGTTTATTTGTTATAGCTAAAGGATTTTCAATAATAATTTAAATAAAAAATTATAAAATTTATTATTTTAAATATAAATTATAAAAATTTAATTAATAATTTTATTACCTCTTTTAAACATGTTTCTAATTGATAAACAGATTTTAACATTGCTTAAACTGTTGTCTATCTTGTATCAATATAAGTTTTTAATCCATCACCTAATATTTTTTTTTTCAAAAATTTTGGTTTCTAAAAGATTATTTGGTAAATGACTTTTTTTAAAATATGTAACTAAAGTTTTACACCACTGAATAATTCTTTTTGCAAATAAATGTTTAATTAAATCCTTTGTTATAAGATTAAATGCATGTACAATATATCTAATACTTAATATATGTGAATATTTTTGAAAAATTTGTTTTCTTGCTAAATTAATATTTGATCCTG